GCCCCCTGTTGTCAGAGTGTTTAAACCTCCACCCTGACCATTAAACTGTTCCTGCTGCACAAACACATGAACACAACTGAAGTCTTTTCATTTTCTCAAGTGTGTAAAAGTACAACACACACACACACACACACACACACACACACACACACACACACACACACCTTGTAGTACTGTGAGTTGGGGGGTCCAGAGGGGGGGTACTGTGGGAGGGACATCTTATGGCTCTGATAGGAGGGGGAGGAGCCTGAGCGCTGAGGGGCAGGGCCTGGACCTGCAGGGAAACAGACCAGGACTTGAGTTTGAATGTCGGGGCTGGTGGACACTTGATGACACCAGAGGACGGAGGCATGTTATGGTTTTTCTGTTGTTTTATCACGTCTAAAGAATCGGTCTCCAGTCTCTTCAGCTGTGTTGGATTCTGTTCTAACAAAGTTTACTTATAATTACACACAAAATGGAAGCAAAAACTGTGACTTACATTTCTTATTAAATGAATAGATATATCTTACCTGGGTGGTACTGCATGTTAGGTCCGGAGTACGGACCAGGCCCGGCGTGACCGCCTCCGCCTGAACCCACCATCGCTCCACTGCCGCCACCAGGACCCGACATCACGTTGACACTGGAGCCGACAGGAATGCCGTACTGCTGAGACATTCCTGGGAACGACTGAGAGACGACGAGGTGGAGGTGAAACATGTGATCTCACTATTTTCAAATAACGAAGCTTCAGTATAAAGTGTTTGTTTTGTCCACGTTCAGATTCGAAAGTTTTTGTATTACTATACTAGAAATATTTATTTTATCATATGAGTTATGATATAAATTGTATCAGAGCAATAAATTGACTGAATCGAATCAGATTCAATTCTATGTTGAGACTGAGTCAATCAGGTTTAATATGGATATAAACTCACCTCAGAGTTGTAGGGCCGTTTGAGGCCCTGCGGGGGCCTCAAGTGGCCCTGCTGTGGTCCAGGACCATAATTTGGATGCTGTGGGACCCTCTGTGGGCCCCCTCCAGGTCCATACATGGGGCCCATTGAGGGGGGGCCCCTGGTAGGGCCTGGACCAGGGCCAATGCCTCCAGGAGCCATGCCAGGGGGGCCACGGGGGCCCGAGTGGGCCATGAACTGGTTATTATAGGCTGGACCCATCTAAACACGCACGCACACGCACACACACACACAAACACACACACAATACTTGTATTAGAGCGAGCCAATGAGGACGTCTCCGGCAGGGGGAGCTCTAACCCCTGCTGTGGGTCTGCAGGTGTCCTCCTCCCTCACCTGTCCATAGTTCATCTCTTGGTTTTGTTTCTCCTGGATGGCAGCAACAGTTGCTGTGGCGGTGGCAGTTGCCGTGGCGGCTGCTGCAGCCACAGCGGCGGCGGCGGCCTGGGTGAAGTCTGCGGAGCCTCTGGAGCCACCAGGATTGGACGGGTAACTACAGAGACACAAGGAGGATGTTTTTATTGTTTTTATAGTTTTATATTTATTAATGTGTTCAAGCTTTTCAGATTTCCATCATGATTAGACCAGTCACATGTGGCAGGAAGTCAACAGGAGTAATATCAACAAAATATAAATAAATTAATAAATAAACCAACTGACCTCCCTGCGTACCCCCCCGGTCCTCCGGTGTAGCCCCCTGTTGCCCGGCCGTACATGCCCTGGTTCATGTAGCCTTTGTTGGGCTCTCCGTAGCCCTGCTGTCCCATGTAGCCACCAGGTCCACCGGCCATGCCTGGACCTCCAGGGCCCTGCATCATGGGTCCCCCGCCTTGGTTGGCCCCGGGGCCCATCACCCCTCCACCCAGACCCTGACAGACGCAGAATCACACACTTCACATCCAGGTCCTCAACAGAATGTCACTCAATCATTTGTTTGGTGAGGTCATACCTGGCTAGCTGAAGGATTGGTCACTCCCCAGACTGTGGTTACCACGGAGAGGGATCCAGTGGGCTGATTGGTGGGCTGCTGCCAGCTGGAGGGGTCGTAGGGGTACGAACCCTCGCTGCAGACACACAGGCAGAAATCACAGTGTGAGATTTTCACACACATTTAATTCTCCTAAAATGATCTCTGATATTTTTCACAATAAGTAGTTCTACTACTAAACCAAGGAGAACTAAGGTCTGGCATCCTGATTGGAAATGAATCAGATCAATAGTGTGTGTGTGTGTGTGTGTGTGTGT